ATATGCATTTTTTTTATAAAAACAATTATGTTTTAAATATATGGAGATCCCTTTTATATATGTGATAAAAATCATATATGTGTAGATATCATTGATGCATTCTCAACTATACAAAAATTTGATACATGAGAAGAAGTGATAAGATGAATTAAGGAGGTCGAAATCAGACATAAAGTGTGTTATCATTACTCGTTCAGATATCAAAATAGGAGGGGTGGAAAATATAAGGAAGCGGATAGTGCAACACAAAGTACTACTAAAATATGTAGTTATCTATTCAAATCAGTTCAACACCATCTAAAATTGGTTCAGGATGGAAGATTGATGTAAAATATGGACTTCACAACCACAATTTACTTGATAGATTTGAAGGTCATGCATTTGTTGGTCATCTAAGTTCATATGAACGGTGACGTGTTGTTGATTTGACAAAGCGTCATATTCCGCCCAGACATATAGTGTTGCCCTTGTAAGAGCGAGATTTGGAGAATGTTACTTAAATCACGCAAATATATAAACATAAGAGTAAATTACAAAAATATATCAAATGTCCTAGAACTAAGATACAACATTTGTTTAAGCTGACATATGATATTGATTATTTTTACTAGAATAAAAGAAGAGTTGACTCAGATGTTGTGAGAGATAATTTCTGGATGAAATTAAAGTTAATATCCAAGGAGAAAAGCCTTGAGTTATTATGTTATATAAGGAGCTCAAAACTACATTGAAAATCAATCATTCACATTGGAGATTTTAGAGTGCTAGGGTTTATAAAAGTCCAACCCTCCAGACGTAGGCGTTGCTGCATTCAAATGAGTTACCAATTATTGTGTTCTTTATTGCTTTTTTTACTCCATCATCTTGTATAATTGAATCTTTCTTTATTGCTTTTTTTACTCCATCATCTTGTACAATTGAATCTGTGTTAATTGTGGTGATTATGGTTTTTCTCATCGAACTAGTTTTGTAGGACATCGTGTTTGACATCTGTCTCCCGAGGAACAAAATTTCAATTGGCATCATAGAAAACACTCTAGTCTGTTGGGTGAGCTCCAGGGAAGATGAATTCTGCTTAAATGAAGACAATTAAAGATGGAGGATCTGTCAACAAACAATTTATTTTGGATGACACCGATTATGATTATTGGAAGGCTATGATGATGGTATTTCTCAAATCCATGGGTAACAAAGCATGGAAAGTTGTGATAAAAGGGTGAAAACATCCAGTGGTCACTTATGAAGATGGAACTACTAGGTTAAAACTAGAAGTTGAATGCATTGATTCTAAAGATGAGGAAGCTCTATGAAACTCCAAGCCTTTAAATGCTATATTCAATGGTGTACAAAAGAACATATTTAGGTTAATCAACACATGTTCATAAGCTAAAGAGGATTATGTGGACTTACATTGAGAGATGCAAAAGAGTCCATCCATACTTAGTGCGCTTTGTAATATGTTAATGGATTTCTTTTCATTAAGGACTTTTTTTATCATCTTCATCATAAGAACTTTTCACTACAAGAAAATTGGCAAATTGCGACGGTTCATTTTGACATATTACGACGGTTTTAACCGTCGCAATTTGTAAGTTACGACGGTTTCAACCCCGTCGCAGAAACGTGCGTCGCGAGGCCGTATTGCGACGGTTGTGAAAACTGTCGTACAAACCGTCGTTATTTTCACGACGGGTAGCTAATTGTCGTAATCTCCATATTGTGACGGTTTTCAACCGTCGTAATTATATTTTCTAATTCTAAATATTATTTATTTTCACGACGGGTAGCTAACTGTCGTAATCTTCATATTGTGCCGGTTTTCAACCGTCGTAATTATATTTACTAATTCTAAATATTTTTTATGCTAGTTGTGACGGTTTAAACCGTCGTAATTTTATCTATAGAATTTTTTTTTAATATTCTATTTTTATATAAATTACTTTCATCTCATTTTTTTTATAATAGTTTTTTTAATTTAAACTATTATTGTTTTTTGGTAATATATCAAATATATAAAGACTCACGTATATCAAATATATAAAGACTCACATATAACAAATATATAAATTTATATATAACTTAAAAAACAATTGATATTTCATTATATCACTTTTCTAAATAACTTATTATATTTTCTACTAAATATATACTTATGAATATCTAAATGATCAAATGTCATAATCTATAACTTGATATATACAATATAATCAATATAATTGTACAACCTATGATGATCCAAGATATTCTGCCCAATTTTCCACACCAAGTGATTGATCCAAGATTTTCTACCGATGGCTGAAGAAATCTTTGGTATGATTTTGCCTTAGAGGATAGACATGAACATCTACAAAAGCTTAAACATTACTTCCAGTTAGCACCAATAAAGAAAATCATTTGTGGTCTTCTAGTATCATCATGAGCCCTCCATAATCTGTTTTGTAGTCTTTTAGTTGCTGCTAATCTTTTGGCTTCACCAACACGCTCTTCCAAAAGCAAAACTTCCTCAAGTTGCGTTCTGGTAGCTTATTGTCTGAAAAACACTTGTATTTGTTAATAATAAGAATAAGTTTGTTTTACTCCTTTAAATGTCACAGCAAAGACTAAGAATATGCTCCCCACCGATAAGCTTCTCTATCTGAAGGAATCATTCCATTTCATATTGGTACCATAAATGATAAAAGGGAAATCTTCCATTGATGGTACGTGTTATTTTTATAGTGATAATCACTATATTTGTGATTATAACAATAATAATAAAAAACTTTCAAAAGGAAATCTTTCTCCCAATTATTTTCCTACAGGGCTCAATACAAAAGCTACCAGATAGCATCGCATGGAGTATTTCAAATGTTCATATATTTCAGAACCCAAAACAATTATGAAGGTGAAGTATAATTTAAGACCATTCAATACGTATACCATAGACAAGATGTACACAACTGGGATTGGGCCATTATTCAATTAAAAAGAAGAAAATTATCAGAGTACATATACATGCCTGGTCAACATATGAAACACTTCGTTGGAAAACCATGTGCTGATTTGAGCTAGGAATTGCAAGAACTTCAACTCGTTCGCCTCTACCAAGATCTCTAAAGTAGTCCCTATATCTTGAAATATCATCAGTAGCAGACATCAAAACCACCCTACAAACGCATAATATATTATCATGGTATCGCTGTAATTAAACAAACAATTGCATGTCACTTATAATCTTTAAATATATAAATTACTTTCTTACAAATATGCACATAGAACTCTCTTTAATTCACTCTTCAAAATATCCTTTCAACACTAACAAAACCAAGATGCTAACCTTAAGTCATTGTTCTTTAACAAAAACCGTTTTACACAAACTAGTACAGGATCAGACTCCTCTGATCTTTCATGTACTTCGTCAAGAATAATAACCTTGTAGTTCAGTGCAGCCACCTGCGAAAAGATCAATACAACTACCAAACTTATGTGCATTTACTGCTTTGGAAAGGTCAAGACAAGAAGAATATTTTAAATGCATTATTTCAGAACTTATCCCAAGAGATTCAGCTACCTGCGAAAAGAAGATTAGAACTATAATCACTGTTAAGTGAGCATAGTGGGGTTTCTATGTGGGTCTGTTGGTTAGGAACATAGTCTCTTCAATCTGAATTATAATGAGGACAATTGATTCATAGATATGGAACAAAATTACGGCAGGTCACTCGGTTAGGAATGAGTCCCTTCAATCTAAATGGTGCAGTAAGATTTGGTTAGAGCCTTTTATAGCAGGTCACTTCCCAGCTTATATATAAGCTGATTGTTGTAAGTTGTAACAGAATTGTAGAATGAAAAACAAGAAACAGAATTTAAGATCTAGAATCTCTCTCTGCAATTTTAGAGTTCTAATATAAGGAAATCAATAAGGGAGAATGATAAATAGTAAACAGTCCCAGTCTTTCTATTTATTCCAAATAGTGAACAACAAGACATATTTGCACCACTAATTAGGATGGAAAATCCTGGTTTACTATTCTATTTACTTGTGAGCCTATATCAATACTATACCAAATGCAGGAGAACTCAAGTATAAGAAGTGTAACTAAATTGACCTAATTACTGCTATAATGCATATTTTCCAAGGCAAAAAGTTGTACATCAGGAAGGTTTGCTTCAACAACAATCCTGCAATATAATGTGATCAAATCAATGGTTTTCATGCAAGACCATCATCAAAAGAAACCCACCAAAGAATATGATTTTTAAGCAACTATAATCAAGGATGGATCACATAAGTTATTGGCAATTAAATTTTACTCTTGTATGCATTGTCCATCTCATGACACATGCACTGGTTTTGCAGTTAATGCAGATTTGATTCCTAGTTGAACTAGATGACCCGGTCTTAGTAGCACTAATTTCCATAACATTTTGAGTTTAATACCTATAATGTCCAAACTACTAACTGAAGTTTAATATTGGACATTTCATACAGAAAATCAGAGAGCAATTCAAAAGTAAAATATAGAGGAATTTTTAACTCACCGGCATGTGGACGAACTACAACGACATTACGATAGCTAGAATGAGCAGTAAAATGTATTATTAATTGAGGTTTTAGGGACTTGAATGTTCACTAAAAACATCATTAAAAGAATACAAACTACTACTTGATAGTTGAGATAAAATAGTTTGTGTTACTATGTTTGATATAAACCATTAACATAAGAGCAGAAAGAAAGAGTATGCATTACCTATGAGATTTTCTTGGAGTCATCTTGAAAGAAAATAGTTTGTTGTTACTATGTTTGATAACTCCCCTGTTCTTAACAGTATCAATGTCCTATGCTGCTTCTGTGACTACAAATAGGAAAACTAAGATAATTTAAATCAAGTTAATTCTACACTGCCCAAAGCAGTTAAAAGAAATATTCTCTACACTGCCCAAGGTAATGAAGTACCTTGTGATAAATGCTACAGGCATTAAGATGGCGACAACCTCTACACATGCTAGGACTCTACATTCAAAAAATGAAGGCGTGTAATGACATTCTGATGAAGGCTGAAGCAAAATCAACATCTCCAGAGATTAGCATGATAGAGGACGGTGGAGGATTGTCAAGAGCAAACAAGAACATGTCAACCAAGATCGCTTTGTCAGCCGCATCTTTTCTCCCATTGGGAACATTAATGAGTTTAACACCAGTTCTTTGACAGCCCTCTCTAAGTCGCCTGGGGAAAGCGTTGAAATCCCCGTAAGCAGAAAACATCATAACAGCTCCTTTAATTACCGGGTGCACTTGCAGAGCCATTCTTATATTACCAGCTACATCTTCTGGGCGTACATCACTCGGAACAGGACAATTTTCAATATCCCAAAGGATAGAAACTGGGCCATCTAAAGAGCTACAGTGTTGCTGGCTTAAAGGACACTGAATTATGCCTGCATTTGATTCAGTAATATTTTGTCCCTTCTGCTCCAAGGAGTCTGTGGACATTGTCGGTGTAGATCTGTTACTTGGGTTAGCCATCAGTGTACTAGAAAACCAGAACTTCCTGCACAGGATGAGCGAGACATCATTAAACAAAACAAAATCTCAGAAACATCGACTTACAAGAAAGTGAAAAGGAAATACAAGACCCAAAACAGTCTTAACCATTACACCATAAATATTAAAAACAAGACCTGCAGAACCATAAATATTAAAAACAAGACCTACAAAACAAAATCTCAGAAACATTGCCTCATTACTAATATCAAGTGGCTTGTAAGCAGCCCTGGTACTTGGAATATTTCTAGCAGCACTGCGATTGCTTTTGTTTGGATGAATAGAATCAATTAATAATAGGAGGTGTGCTCTGAAATATTACCGCAGAGCAACACAAGTGTGATAGGCTACCTGCTTCTCAGATGATGTCAGCACTTATGCGGATGATGTTCTGTCATTTCGAAGTAATCCTGAGTTAGACAAGCCCAAGGCTCCAGAGGTTACTCCTAATCTTATGGAAATAACATCATTGAGAAGGCCCAGTAATTTTTGTAAGCCATCCTGAGAGTCAAAAGCATCGAGTACTGCTCGGAAGATAAATGCGGCAGAGAACAACAGTGCTGCATTCTTCCGGGCAAGATCTTGATTACACTCAATGAGTTGGAGAGCCAACTCAACTACGTGATAAATGACATCAGAAGGAAGAGCGCAAACCCGTTCCATTATCCCCTGAAATAATCATCTATAGTCAAAATAATGTAATAGCATTGTAGGAAGATTAGTTACAAGGAAAATGTACATAAAGGTTTGGAGTATAATCGCTATTACACATCTCACATCATGATTATGATAATTTTTGCGATGAATACGTGAAGGGAACAATAGTAAATAGACAAGAAGAAAGGCCAAAGAATGTTTGAGCCATTCTAGGTACAGCAAGCAGCTTTTGTATTCCTCCACGGTCCACAAATAGTGCAGCAAAATTCCTATGGGCAGCTAAAGCACATATCAGCTTCATGACATCGGGTAACAGGAAAGCAACCTTGGATGGATCCTGATATTTAGAACTTTGCTGCAAAAGTCCAAGACAAACATCAACCCCCTTCTCGTGCAATACAGGTCCCAGAACTTCTACATATTCTCCAAGTAACGCAAGACACTGAATGCAATATTTTTCCCTCAATTGTGTAAGTATTTGAATGTCTGGGATGAAATAATCTTCAACATCCTCACTAGATTTTGTTTCTCGGCCACTAACATTCTCTGTCTCTGTACTAATGTAGACAAATTTCTTGTGACCAACCCAATAAGAACATTGTCAACAGGACTAAAAGAACCTATCTGGCAATTGTTTGTCTGAGCATTTAAATTGCTCATAATATTATTCTCATGTACCTTGAAACTTCAACAGCAGATGCAACATCGATAACAGTTGATGCAGCTCTAGAAGCAGCCAAAAAAGATACCTCTTCATTGTTCGTGGATTTGTATTCCTGAATATTATACATGAAATAAAATGTCATTTCAATTGTGAAAATAAAATATGCAATACTGGACACCGACACGTATTTTTGCAAAAGTATATTTTTTTGTAGTGGAAAAAAGTGAATGAGCATTGGCATACCTCTAAAGCTGCAGTTTTAAAAGATCAGCAGCAGCATCACCAGCTGCTTTGACAGCTTTTTCAGGGGCATTGTCTGATCTAGCTTCAGTCTCAGCAGCTTGGACTGCTTTTCAAACAAGATCATAGATATCTTTACTTCCAATAAAGCACTCTTGGAAACAAGCATCATTATCCTCTCTTTCGGAAACGGTACTGGTAAGAGCCTTTTTAGAATCAGGTACCCGTTTAACATCAGTGTTCTTCAAAGAAATCCTATCTCTACCACTTCGCCCCTGTCCTAATCGACTAGCAGAACCAGCAGATGACAAAATGGGTTCACTTTCTAGCAGCCCATCGTTGGCCCTTCCTTTCCCCCTTGATCTTCCCAATCCACGGTTAGTACGCCGCCTTGAAGATTCGTCCCTACCATTGTCTTCATGCTCACCATATTTTATCATGCCATCACGCATATCTCTACAACACCATCTATCCTCCCCATCAGAATCCACCTCACCAACATCAGCACCTTTGCTGAGTCCATTAGATGGTTCATCATCTATCCAGGGATCTTCTTGACAAGCCTGTCCACTAGCACTTCTATCCTGACCCTGTTCAGGACCTTGGTCATCTAAAGATCCCTCTTCGTTAATCTTTGTATCACCTAAATGACTCATTTCTAGGAGCTGGCGAAACCTTCCACGACCATCATCTCTACCTCTTACTAAAAACAGAACTAGCCAGGTTATAAAATAGAAAAGAAACACAAATATGACAACAATGCGTATAATACTAATCGAATATTCATATAGCCACAAACAAATATGGAGTACATTTTCAGTCCCAACTTCTGGTCCGAGAGTAATTTTAAGAAGCATAAGAGATGCATATTTCTTATATTCATTCTCCCCTATGAAAGTACCAAATAGAGTAATAAAGGACATTCCATTTTCTAGCATTTTCAATTGTCCTCCTCGAATTCTTGTCCGAGAAAACACACTGTTATAAACTAACTGCTACTCAATTTTAAATAGGGCATGCATCTAAAAACAGACATCTGAAAATCAATCATAGTTCTTCACCGTCACAGTATCACACACGTCTGTATAAAAAGTAGATGTATCAGCCAGGCATAGAAAAATATTATTTACCACTTTTGAGCTGGACTTGGATTTGCTTCCACTGTGGTTTCAAACCGAAGACTTCTCCTTAACTTGTTTCTTTGTTGTACCAGTAACAACTTCAAATATCGATGGCAGTTCATTGATCATATTGAAAAGGCGTTTCCTGTACCACAATATACGTCATGAGTACATCAATGAACAACATATATATATATATATATATATATATATATATATATATATATATATATATATATATATATATATATATATATATATATATATATATATATATATATATATATATATATATATATATATATATATATATATATATATATATATATATATATATATATAAAAGACAATTAAACCTACATTCAGTGCAAAAAAAACAAAAAATCTTCAAACATCATAATAGATCAACATAATGATACTGATTTATGAATGTTAAGGAAGACCTTGTTGCAATCAGCCCTCCAGAAAGTAAAAAAGTTTATCGATTAATCGAAAACACAAATGATGCGGCACATGAAAAGAGATTGTAACTTACCAGGATCACATTGGTTATAGAAATCTTCAACAGCATAACCAGACAGAAGAACTTCATCAGTAAAGAAAAAGTTACAGAGCATTCATATATATAAATTTAATAGAAACATAGTCAAAAAGTTCAAACTAAAACGATCTTATGAACAGACACAAGCATAAAAACAATGATTCATAAAAACAATGATTCATAAAAACAGAACTACAAACTAAAACGAAAACCTGAACACGGATTTAAACCATCTGTTTTGTGAGAATGGAACAAAATTAAGCCCAAAATATTTCACACTGAGAGTACTCGTAACCGAATCAAAACTTGCATATACTGGTTACAATCACTAGAGACACAAAGCTTGAAACAGGATTGAAACCGAAGCCAATAATAAACAGAAAAATATTTTGAATTGTTACCTCGAATTTGGATCCGAATCAAACAACGGGTCCCTTTTGAAGGATTTCTAAATACTTGCCTTGTTGCGGCAGCCGCTACAGAGCTTGTTGGGTTGTTCACAGCTTGGCTTCGTTACGTTGTCGTGGTGATTTCTTTTTGCGAAGACTTCTAGAGAGTTGCAGGCGTCGTTCACGGGATGTTTGTTGAACTGAGTCGCACAATAACGTTGAAAGTTACAACGACTTGAACCTCCAAGTGTAGAAAATCACGATTTCCTTTGAACTCAACGAGCGATGAACTGAAAATGCCATCATTAGAAACTTGCAAACAAAAACAGGAAATCAACACTCAAAAGGACGAAGCCGCAAGTTATTGTTACTCGTTCGTCGCCGTTATCGCAAAGCTACTGTCGTCGAAACTGGTGCTTGATGTTGGAAGTGGACTCGAGAGCGATAACGCCGCCGTTTCAGATCAGGAAAATGAGGGCATCGATGGCGATGGCGATGGAGAGCGATGACGCGCCGTTTCAGATCAGGAAAATGAGGGCATCCAGAAAGAAAAAACAAATTAGACGAAAAAAAATAGAAAACTGAAACAATGAACAATGAACAAATTTTATGGAGGCCGACGGTTGAAATCAGTGTCGCGACCTTTGTGAAAGAGAATGGGAACGGCCGGTAAATTCACCGTCCTGATACATAAATTTTGGATATATAGTTTTTGAGTTTAATTTTTTTTATATATAGTTTAATTTTAATACTTTAATTTTAGGTATAATATTGAGATTAATTTTTTTTATAAAAATAGTTTTTAAAATTAAAGTTTTATTTTGAGTATATATAGTGTTTTAATTTTTATAGTTTAATTTTGATATATCAAATATTTTAATAAAATGAAGTGTAATTTTTAAAAAATTTATGTATTTTGAGTTTAATTTATTATTATTATTATATTTTATAAATGTTTTTAGTAATTTATTTACTCAAATTATAATAATTATTATATTGTCATGAAAATTATAATAATTATAATAATTATTTATTAAATTAATTAATAAAATTGAAAAGATTAGAAAATAAAAATGAAGAAAAAAATAGTGATTATGATTGGCTAAAGTAATTACGACAGTTCGCTTAACTGTCGCGGGTGTAAAAAGAGGGCGATTCTTTGATAACTGTCGCATTATTTTATACAACGTGTCTAAAAAATTTGCGACGGTTGACTCAAACCGTTGTGAGAACTGTCGTAATCCAGGAATAAGGACGGTTTTTTGATAACTGTCGCAAAAAATCTACGACAGTTGACCCTAACTGTCGTGACAACTGTCGCAATCTTGGAATAAGGACGATTTTTTGATAACTGTCGCAACTCAAGTGTC